TATCAATTATAACCCTCCGTAGATCTAGATCTAGACAGCACACGAGTGAACACAACACATTACGTTTAAAAGCAGCACCTTTCATAGGCAACACGTCATATCTATAGCGAAAAACTGTTTGGAATTGTAGCATTTCTTTATATAAATATTTACTGCGGACATTTTTTGGACCGACTGAACCATATTGTGTACGAACAATCTTTGGTAGGCCCATACTATAATTATAGATCTCTATATAATATCCGAAATTTGGGGGGAAGGATGATATTTCAGAGTGTTCGGAGAAATAGTGCGCAGCTTTATTTTCCTGAACGTTCGGAGAAATAGTGCCAAGCTTTATTTTCCCGAACGTTCGGAGAAATAGTGCCGGCCTAATTTTTATGGGATTTTAGGTGTAAGGGGAGTAAGCCCCCCTAAAACCCCCCTACTCTTGACTTTAACGAACGAAACTACAAAATCACCGACACACCTTGTCAAAACCTACAAAAGGAATTGAAATAGATGCGATTAAACGTAGAAGGACGCAAACTATTTTTAGGTAAGGCGGCCTTCTTGTTTGACGTCAGACCAGGATACTCCTCCGATCACGTGACGACATTCTAGGATATAATATAGCCAACCGCATGGCACCAAAGATGGAAGTGTCTATGTATATCAAGCTTCATCTACCTCTCGCTGTCGGAAGTTCTGATGGCCGAATAGACAGCGCGTCTGCGTTTGAAGTCATGCTATGATTTTATGAGCAGTTCGATCCCGGTCCCGGACGGGGGGGTTTTTTCTCTTCTCCTCCTCCCGACTGACCAACAGCTTGTCCCATAAATTATAATTTGCTGCTTTGTAGCGGTTTGTTTTTTAGTTTTTTTATTTAATGTATATGAGCTTTTGCCAAAAGGTGGGGGTGTTTGCTTAAGGACTTTTTAAATCAACCACTACTCATGGTAAAATATGTTTTCTTCTGAAAACTTTATGCATATGGCAAGGAAATAAGTTGGTCAAGCTGCATGAGCAAGTAGATTGATGTGTGCATCTTATATCTCTACATAGAAAGATAATAGTACTAAAAATAGGGCACTCATCCTGAGTGCACACGTAATTGTATGTTAAATACAGAATATTGTTAATCTTAAACTATCAAACAGAAGTGCATTCAAACATTGAAAATAGTTTATATACACCATCATAACAGCGTGTGTCCATTAAAAGAGTTTTATTTTTTTATATTAATGATGTTATTGCTGAGTAAAATTTATAAGTTCGTTCATAACTCGTGTCATAATTACATCATCAGACTTTGCAAGGTCTAGAAAACCCAAATCGTTAAACATATCATCCCGAGGAATGACCGGTATTAAACATTGGTTTGACATTGATCCATCAGAAGGGTAATTTTCCGCTCCATCGCATGGTTTTGCTTAAATATGACTTTGATTGAGATAATCCAGGTTTGTCATAATGATGTTATGAACAAACACTTTATGATATTTCTGCAAAATATCATGTGAGGGACTTCCCACTGTTTCACAACATCCTTTTACATGGTGGAATGAACATGGAAGAGTATCGTGCTGATGACTCAAAAGAGAAGCGAAGAAGAGGCAAAAATATGCTTGTCATAATGGATTGTCATCATGTTATGAACGTGACAGTGTGTCATAATGGTTATGAACGAAACCTTATTCCATGTAATTTACAATTGTTTTGGGATGTATTTTTAATTTTAACCCAACTTGAGGATGTATTAGACCTTGCTTACATTCTGATATTTTGATTTTTATCATAAGTGTATGGGTCTGGATTTTAATTAGTATTTTAATTTTGTAGTAATGGTTATGAACGAACTACATATTGTACTCTGAGGGCTTTCCAGAGTTGATAAACATTAAAAACATGTACACAGATACGTATTATGAGGAAACTTACATTTAATATAAAATTTTAAAGTAAATGACAGGTTAAAATATTAATTTTTAGGTCAAAACTGAAGTTTGTCATAATAGTTATGAACGAACCATTGAAAGTATTCTAAGGGTTTTTTAAGTGATTAAACTTTGAATTCTTCCATCATATAACCTGATTTTGAGGAGAGTCTCATAAATTAAAACAATTTTATGTGAATGGATGAACAATAAGTTAATTTTTTGGGCCCAAAGTAAAATTTGTCATAATAGTTATGAACGTGACAGTGTGTCATAACGGTTATGAACGAAACCTTATTCCATGTAATTTACAGTTGCTTTGGGATGTATTTTTAATTTTAACCCAACTAAAGGACAGAATAGACCTTGCATACATTCTGATATTTTGATTTTTATCAGAAGTGTATGGGTGTGGATTTTAATTAGTATTATACTTTTGTAGTAATGGTTATGAACGAACTATTTATAGTCCATTTTATATATTTTGAGAGCTTTTCAGTGTTAACAAACTTTAAAAACATGTACAGAGATACATATTATGAGGAGAGTTTCATTTAATAAAAGTTTTAAAAAATGAATGACTGGTCAAAATGAGTAAATTTTTAGGTCAAAATTGAAGTTTGTCATAATTGTTATGAACGAACCATTTTAAAGGTATTCTAAGGGTTTTTCAGGAAATAAACTTTGAATTCTCCCTACATAGAGGAATCTATCATATTTTAAGGAAAGCCTCATAAATGAAAACCATTTTATGTGAAAGACAGAACAATATAAGTAAATTTTAGGGGCCAAAAGTAAAATTTGTCATAATAGTTATGAACGAAACAGTGTGTCATAATGGATATGAACGAACTTTAAATTTATGCATAATATGCCCTAAGACCAGTTTGAGTTTAAAAATAGCTGTTCAATGGTCTTTCATTTATCACTTGACTATAATTATACCAGAGTGTTATTTAAGACAATTCTAGTCGATGAAACTTGATATAATTGATAGTATTTTGGTCACTTAATGTTCGTTCATAACTATTATGACACAAAAAAGTAATTTTATAAAAAATTAATAAAGATTTTTATAAATTTTCAATTCTGTGTATTTTTGGAAGTTATTTGCTATGTCTCAAAATATAACATCAGCCTAGCTGAAGAAAGGAACTTTGAGTATTCATAAATTTGTGTCATCATTGTTATGAACGAACTTTTTGCTATTTCCGTCATTCAAGTCAGAATTACACCAAGACCATTGCATATACAGCTTTGGCAGTTACTGAGCCTGAAAGAGCAATCATTAGGCTATATTATATGGGTGATTAAAGAATTATTACATAAGGTTGATTTTGGACCTCATTTGTCACACCCAGGAATCCCACCTTTTGGCAAATGCTCATATATATTATAATATATATATATATATATATTTACATATATAGTGATGAAGAATGCAGGAGGGGGGGGGGGGGGTAGATCTAATCTAGATCTAATCCTCCAGCATCTTTGGTTATGCGGTTTATTGTCTTTGTGTCTGCCGTGTTTCAATTTCAAGCTTCAGCATTCTTAATCTTACTGTTCTGAGCATCAACGATCTAGATCTAGATTCTAGATATCTAATGTGATCTTCCATCATGTCCTAGCACTAGATCTTCCGAAATGTTACCGAAAACACGCCATTCCATGCGGTACCTCCACGGAGTCTGTGGGTATCCCAGGAAGTGATGACATCACATTACTAAAATTAGCAGCCAATCAGAAAGATGCGTCTTCTACGTTTAATGTTTAACGGCATATAATTGAAATGGGCTATCACAGCAGGAAAGACTGGAAGTGGCTATTCTCACCAGGGGTACTGTCACCCTGTATCATTATTCTCACCCACCCTCAGGTGTGCTATATAGCCTAGCACAGACACGTGTGTCATATATATGACATAGACTTTAGGAAGAGGCTAGCCCTACTTAATGACGGCTAGACGGCTGGGCTAGCAGTACTTAATGGCTAGACTGACAAACAGTGAAGAATAGGCTTACTGAATTGTAAAAATAAATTTTTAGTTTGCAGTACATATTTGTATTTGAGACAAAACCAAAAGGTGCCTTACTGACAGTGCATGTATTCTAAATAATTGGGCCTACTAATGAGACCTGTGTACTCAACAGGGTTCTAATAGAGCCATACTTAAGGACGGCTAGACTGGCAGGCTAGCTGTACTTAATAATGATGGCTGAATTGTAAAAATAAAATTTTAGTTTGCAATGCGATTTGCATTTCAGACGAAACGAAAAAATGCCTTACTGACATGCATGTATTTTAAACCTCTGAATATCGAATGAGACCTGTGTACTTAAAAACAGGTTTCAGTCAATAGGGCCAAACCTAGATCTAAGTGTACGGCTAGACTGGCAGGATAGCCATACTTAAGTACGGCTAGATGGCTAAGCTAGCTGTACTTAAGGACAGCTAGTCTGTCAGGCCAGCTGTACTTAAGTATGGCTTGCCACTTCATAGACTGTATTCCTTGTTTAAAGTCATGTGCATGGAAAATAAGTTTTTGCAATGACATGAAAGTCTGATAGAGTAGATGTTCCCTGGGTCTATACTGTGGAACCTGTGTAAGACGGCCACCCATTGTAAAGGAGAAAAGTGGCAGTAAGACAGGTGGCCGTCTTAGGCAGGACTTGTCAAGTTGAAGAAAACAAACCATTCCTTTCTGAGGTCCCAACCGAAGGTAGCCACATTGTTGTTGTTGTTGTTGTTTGTTGTTGTTTTCGCTCTTTTTAAAAAAAAAATTTTGTTGCTGCTTTTGTGTAAGGGTGACAAAATGAAATGTGCCAGACAAGGAGGACCAAGTGGATTATGACGGTTCCCCCACAACGCCAGGGGCCAAGGCTTAATTTATGAGAAAACACAATGGAGTTACTAAGGTGGCCGTCTAAGACAGGTGTTATTGTAATTGTTTGGTGTTATAGGGGTTGTGTGTTAAAATAAGGTGGCCGCAGCCGCGTTGGACAGGTGCCCGTTTTACACAGTTAAATTATATCGAAAAAACGCAAGGAAGGAAATGGAAAGTGGCCATGTGTACAGGTGATCATCTTATAGAGGTGGCCGTCATGGCAGATTCGACTATGGTTTGATGCACAAAAGTGAACTCTTAGGTATAAGGGGAAAACTTCTAATTGATTCCCTCCCTACACACACACACACACACACACACGCACTAATCAGGGGTAATTTGAAGCCTTAAAAATTAACCTTAAACTATTTCATCCTCATTATAAAAAATGCACAGCTTAGGAGAAAAAAGTATTTACACTTACGTGGCTTATCTATTAATAAACTGACACATATAGCAAAATCAAATGATATTTTTTGTTTGTTTCTCTGATCGTTATTTGGAGAATTTAAATAAAATGAGACAGTGAAATACAATTTTGAACAATGTGTAATTTTTGGATGTATAAAATAATATAATGGTCTCAATTTTTTTTATGTTATGATACTGAGTTTGGAATAGTAGTGCTGTGCGATTTTGAGGGGAAAAACTCCATCAATGCTTTGAAGCACGGGGTCACTATTCATACCAATTCAAAAACAAACTCGACTGGCATGTCCACACTTCTCTCCTGCATAAATAAAAAATGAACAAAAGACTGTTTTTTCTACAGAAGTTTACGTATTTTAAAGTTAATAAATCATTGATATGTCCTATTCTATCATTCAACCATAGAAAGTATGATCAATTTCTGTATTATAACAGATACAAAACAACAAGATATAGAAAAATTGAATCGATGAATACGAAAAGCATGCAAAATTTCAACATCTACATTCCCCTACTTCGATCAATTATATTATACATTTTTTGGACAATAAAGTTCTTTTTTCCCTCAAATAAAAATATCTGTCAGAAGTAAAAGACCTAGGCTTTTGATCTGTAACAAAGAAAGATACAGAAGGTCATTCTTACCATCATTCATCAAACCTTTTCCATCTTAATCATCTGTTATAAGTATTCATACAATGACCTAAGAGCATGCATCAGAATACTACCATTAAGTTACAATCTGAAAACTGAGTATGTATCTAGCTTCACATATATTATTGTTTTTATTACTGTTCATTATATTTATAAAGTACATAAATGACTGTGAGCCTGTTTGTAAGTGCGAGCATACTAGTGTATTATTATGGTTGGGTGCACAAATGTGCGTGGAAGAGAGGATGTGTAAGGGAAGAGTGTGTACAATGTGTATATGGGTGTGCACATGTGTGTGCATATGCGTGTGTGTGCATGTTTGTGTGTGTGTGGATGTAGGTGTGTGTGTCTGTGGGTTTAGGTATGTGTGTACGTGGTGAAACACCGAACAAATGTGCTAGGATGTGGACAATAAAGATGTATCATATCTTATATTTATCTTATACCACGGGCAAATTGTTTTGTCTTATTTATGATAATTTTAAAAAGTCTGTCCTTAACTCCCACTATTCATCATTTCAATAATCACTTACTATTCACAGTGCTATTCACTGAGCATGTGATCTTCTGGCTCACATGCCGTGCAATATGATGATTCGTAAGGCCTTTGAATTTTGAAAGCCGACGGGGAGTTCATTCTGACTGCATACATTGTTAATTTCTAAGAATGACATGGGTGCTATTCCTCTCTGTGTAATAGTGTAGATGACTGAACTTTAAAAAAAACTCTTTCTATTTGGAAGAGTGTTTTTTTATTCATTTTCCAGAAGCTTCTCAACGGTGTAATTTTGTGACTCGAAAAGTTATTACTAAAGTGAATATTTTATATGTCTAGTCAAAAATGAACTTAAAACAGTTGATTTTCTAATATGCGTCACGGCTCGGTAGAATCAGCCTCTCGTTAATTTTGGGGTATTTAGAGTTTTTGGTATCATCTTAAAGGGTGTTCATTTGTCTTGCTTTGGATTAGAAAAGTATCCGTTTATATTGAATACAAGTCGAGATATTTGCTAAAGAAGGAGGTGGGGTCACCACTGGTATCAGAGGTAAAATTAGTGAGAAAATGACCTTCAAAGATCAGTTATTTCCTTAGCTTGAGAGTTTGTGGAAACTGAAAATTTACGTTTTTTGTGCCTTTTATCGACATTTTTCAGTAAAATCCACATAGAAATGTGTTCTTTAATGGACATGAAAGGTGTTGAGCCAAAAAACAAGAATTCAACAAAAATTCACAAACCTGCCGAAAAATGTCAGTTTCTTCACTTTGATTATTTTGACGAGCGCCTGATTTCACCACGCTGCCTCACATATGTTAGAGAATGTAGCTTTTAGATTTTCAATTCATATGCAAAAATGTCTTTACTTATTTTCTATGGCGCTTTCAAAAGTTAATAATGATTTTCTTTTTCATTTTTTGTGCAGGTGCCATGCGTGTCTACAGCTGCAAGACTTTGACCATTAATTAATTTGTTTTATGAAGGGGCTTTTAGATATTTTTGCACTGTTACTAGAATGCAAGAATTTTGTCCAGACTCATTTTGGGTAGGTGTTTTGATTCTGTTTTGTATTGTTTTGTCTTTTATGAAAGGTTTTTGCTGTTTTACCTGACCAAGATGTCATAAGTTGGACAAAGTTTGGGATTGTTGTACTTTGTAAACTGTACAACATATTTGTGTTGCAGCATTGTGAATTCGGGCATTCTTCAATATAATGAAATCTGAGAATCTGACGTTTTTTCTGTCCGTTGAGCAATTTCTATCTATATTTCTTTTTGGTTCAACATCTTTTATGTCCATTTTTAAAAACACACATTTTTGAGCGGATTGTACAAGTAACCATTGATCAAAGGCATAAAAAGACGTAAAATTGTACACTTTCCATGGACACTCTAGCTTTGGCAGTCATTTTCTCATTAACTTTACTTCTGACATCAAGGGACCCACAGATGGGAATTTTTTTTCATCAAAAGAAAAACAATGGAACAAGGATTTTACAAATAACTCCATATGCCGATAAAATGGCAAGCGCCTGATCCATCGTGTTGTCACATATTAATTGGTCGCTTTTAAGGACAAGCGGGCTAACCCAGATTTCGGGGGTTTCCAGAAATCTTGACCTACACCAAAAGTGGGCATTGTTTACCCGCAGAAGTTTGGTTTCATTTGTGTGTATATTTGTTTGGTTAGAGAGAAAATTCTCCTTGTCTTTTAAAGAAAATGAACAAGGGGCAAAAACTTTGCCTTTGATTTTCTCAAAACAGCATTTTTCATGATAGCCCCTTTGTGCTTAAAAGTGACCAATTTCTTGAATCAGGGCATGTTGTAACAGGTTTTGACTGTATTGTCATGTACTTCTTTTTTTTCCCATTTGGAACAGTGGTGTTGTGTAATGATGTGCTGCTGGTTAATATACTTTGCTAACTTTTTTTTCTTTCAGAATTCAACATTGTCTTGGGACAACAGCTGGCCTCAGTTGACTGTCTGCTTCCAGGGCTGCTTCCTTCTCCCTTTGCCATGCTACTTTTTGCTCCTGTTCTTGCCTTTTCACCTATGGCACCTATTGACATGGCAACCTTTAGGGAGTCCTACCATGAACCTACTGTTTGTTCTGAAAATGGTAAACTTTTCAAAATATATTTTAAGTTATGATTAGGGGGAAATTTGAGATGCACAAGTTTGTGGAATGAATTTGTGTACTTGAGACACTGACATTTTGACCAACAACAAAAATGGCTTACCTGATAGGCCATACCCAAAAACAGATTATATATCTGCTCTTCATGCCCTTTAGCTCACTGAACCCTGACCTGATAAAATTGCTTTTCATCAATAGTGTCCATATTCCAACAACAACAATGGCACAGTGTTCTCAGGTAGATTGTGATGTCAAACAGTTTGTTTTTTCATAAAACCATCTCAACTTATCCATTTTTAGCAGCTAACCATATAAAAGTTTGCAAACAAAGCGAGAATGAAAGTGCTTTATCCATTTTTAAAGTCATAAAATTTCAACACATGTCCTGTATTTGTTGTTTCACAATGACATTGTGCCTCAGTGCGGTGCACACTTCATGGCTGCCTGAGTTTTGGAAATAATTACAATAACTGAATTTGACATAGAATTTGTGTTTTGAAAACAAACAAAAAATGCTGAAAACATTTTTAATTACATCCCTTTTGAATTACTAAGTTTTATCTTATATTTCTGTTTTTATACAGTTGTTTATGATATATGTGTGATCTGTTGTGTCTGTCAAGTATTTTTTTCTTTCATTTTGGAACCATCTTTTATATATCTGTATATCAAAAACTGTTTTAAAAAATATCAAGAACTTAAATTTGGTGGTGGGTCAACAGTAGAGCTGGATCCTCCTAAAAATTTTAGTGAATTGCGAGCACGAACTACTCGCTCCAAGTGAGTTGCGAACTGGCTTGAGACTCGCACCCTGTGACGTCACGTAACCCCCCCCCCCCCCCCCCCGGGGGCACCCCTGGGGGGGTCGCGTCACGTACATTCCCCCCCTCCCCCCCTTCGTTTTTTTTCGGCGGGAAAGGCTCCCCTTTTTTTCGAATACAGACGGTGGCGAGGGGGCAGCTGAGAACTTAAAAGATTTTTCGGGGGTTTTTTTGGGTTTTTTTTTTTGGGGGGGGGGTACAATGACGCCCTACATTTTATTAGCGCGCACACACACACACACACACACACACACACACACACACACATGTTATATTATATTCAGTAATGCAGAGTATCAAAATAAGCATGACAAAGAAGCGAAATAAAAATATAATACAATATTATACAACAAATTCAAAAACGTGTTACACTGTTCAAAAACAAAATCATATCTACATTGGCAGGCTTCAAAGATCCCCTTCTGGCCGAGATGAGCTCACCCGCTTTCGAAAAGAGCCTCTCTTGAGACGATGTCGTAACGAGGATCCAGCTTGTTCACCAGTCGCCGAAACGCTGTATTTTCTACCACTGAAAGAGGTTGTAGGTCGACTGTAACCAGATCCAGCACACAGTTGTCTAGTTCCTTCTTTCTGTCACTCCCTGGTTTATACTTTGTCACTCTCTCTATGGTGTCGAACAGAGTTGGTTGTGTAGACCTACTTGGACCAGCTGTGGGCGCAGAGCTCTGAGTAGTCGAAGAAGAGGCAGCAGCAGGAACACTTGTAGTAGATGAGCTTTCACTCACTTCCTCAAATTGAGCAATGTGGAGAGGATGTTTTTTTCTCAAATGCCTGAGCAGATTTGTAGTTGATCTTCCCGAGTAGGCCAACTCACATTTGCATACATCGCACACAGCAATCTTGGCACCGCCAACACCGCCATTCTTCTGTGTTATCAATTTCCAACATAGACTTGGCTTGGCAGACATTTCCTAATTAACAAGTTCTTACAAAGAGTAAATAAGAGTAAATTTCAACAACAAACAACAGAAATGGACAATGTAGTGCAATCAGCCAATTAAACTTTATGCGACAATGCAACAAGATAAATTTTATAAATAATATATGCAAATTTCCAGAGATACAAAGACCTCAACAGAGAAACAAGGGATCGTAAAGAGTAAAAAATAATGTGAAAGGCAAAAAAAAAAAAAAAAGTATGAGGAGTCAAGTAAGCCAAGAGATGAGGAAAGTCGAGCATACAACAAGCGCAAGAGTGTAGAGCAGATCAGAGAAAGCTCAGGGGGTGGTGGAATTTGTGATAACCATCGTTTATATACGAGGAAGTTATTAGCTAATCAAAGAGAATACTAATTTGCTTTATTTGAATAGAGAGAACAGCTGTTAGACGTAACAATTTAAAGAACATATCTTCTGCTTTCGTTGTGGACGGGTGTTATGTCTGTGTATGTTATAATATTACTGTAATTGTTTAAACTTTATTTTAATATGCATCGTATTTTAATTTACTTTGCAGCTCATTTCAAAGTCAGTTACCAGTGAACTCCATCAGCTCACCCCCCTGTAATGTATAAACAATGGACTGACCATGCATCAACTCACCCCAAAGTCAAGGACCTTACTATTGTATAATAACCTCCGTCTCAATCCAAAGCCAATCACAGCTCAGCTCTAAGCGTCCCTAATTAAATATGTGCCACTCGTCTAACCCTACACCCCGTTAGATATAGTCTTCTTGGCCTAGATTTAAAACTAGTGCAACCGACAGCGGGTGAGTCGCCCCAGCAGCGCGCTGCCCACTCTCACGTAGTCCATTACATCATGTGTTACACCCATTCACAGGCTACTCTGCCGGTGCCTATTCATAAATAGTGTAATAATTACCCCATCGCTCGTCACACGCGCCGTCACCGCGGGCCCACACTACATGATAGCCTACCCAGCCGACCGACCCGCCCACCGACCCCCCTCCTCTGCCCTTCCAACCATGCAAGCTCTCAATGGCTGAACGACAGACTACCTAACTATAGCATAACCTTCCCCCCTAAGACTAGCTATTCATAGCACCAAACCATCAATGACCTATGAACTGAGTTGAAGCCATCAATGACCTATGAACTGAGTTGAAGCTATAGGCTTATACATATAGGAACAACTCCTGAATCGATTCACTGAGTTGCGAGTAGTATGCTCGCATCTTTCACACTAAATATAGTATCAACTCCTGAATCGATTCACTGAGTTGCGGACAGGCTTGCTCGCACCCACCGCACCATATATGGTATCAACTCCTGAATCGATTCACTGAGTTGCGGACAGGTCTACTCGCACTCACCGCACTAAATATAGTGTCAACTCCTGAATCGATTCACTGAGTTGCGAGCAGCAAGTGAGTTGCTCTGAGGTGAATCTCCGGTGTTGCCGCTCGCTACTCGCTGACAGCTGACAGGCTTTTTTGACCTGCAAATCTACTGCCGCTCATAGAAAGGCTGGCTGTATTTTGTTTTGGCATCATAAACTGCCGTGGGCTCATTACATTTTAACAATTAAGATTAAAGAATTAATATTCATAGCAGAAAACCTTTGCTGAATCACTGAATTGCACTGAGTTGAACTGAGTTGCCCAAGTGAGTTGGGAGTTGATTCCCGGAAGTGGGAGTTGCGAGCAGCGAACGGAATCGATACCGGGATCCAGCACTAGTCAACAGTACTGTAATGAAATGTTTTAACCAAGTCTCTTGGTGTTTCATTGATAATAACTTGAGCTTTTTTTTAAACACCACAAAATCTTTAAACAGACGGTAGCAGAGAGCAGGCCAGTGCCGTATGGTTCAGTGAGTTAATATTAATGTCACCACTGACCTTTTTTGTGGACATTTTGTTTCTTTTCTGAAGTAGGAAAGTGACCCATCCTTTACAATATTCTGAACTTCTTCATGTTGTATTTTAGATAATGCTCTTTATGTATGTAATGCGTGATGTCACTTGATTTTGAGCTTGCCTACCAAGACTACCAGTATGAGTAAAGTGTGTTTAAATCTGCATTTTTTTTAAATATTTCTTTTGGGGGGGGGGTTAACAGTGTCAAATATATATTTTGTTGTTATTTTGGGGGGAGAGGGTGGATTCTTTTTTAAAAGATTTATTGCTTCAGTACTCTGCAGGTTCGCAGAGATTGTCAGTAAATTTTTAGTGTAGGTGCTTTTTTAGCTAGATAGTTACTTTAATGTGTCTTTGAGCATTAGTAGAGAAAAAATGCACTACAAGCACTACTAGTCTTTCAAAATTAAGATTTGTTGTACAGAATTGTACAAAATTAAGATTTGTTAGACAGTGCAGATCGTCAGATTGTAAGACGCGAAGCAAATCATCCCAGGATGAAAACCACAGCGGAGCGATTAGTGCTTCAGTCGACTCTCCTTTCACCCTGTCTCAGCAAGAGATGGAACAGCAAACGGAACCAGGGTTACGGAAACCCAGAATACTGTGGCCTGCTGCTAAGGAGAAGGCAAAATACAAGACGTTAGAAGAAGAAGTCCAGAAGAAATTGAAAGAAGTCAAAAAGAGTTCTAACAGAGGGGATGCTAAAGAAATATTGAGTGCGTTTGCGACCATTATCTATGACTCGGCAATAAAAGAGTTTGGTATTTGTGAAGGAAAGAAAAAGACGGAGAAGAAAAGTGGATTGAGTAGAAGGCAGAGAGTACTTGCACAGCTAAGAAAACAGAAACGAGACTTGCAAAAGCAGAAAAAGTACGCACCACCAGAAGAGATAGAAGGCCTAAAAATCTTGTTTGAAGATCTTAAGAAAAAAAGCAGAGACCTACAGAGGCACGAAAGAAGGTGTACCAGGAGAAAAGAGAGAAAAAGGGAACGTGAACAATTTCTGAAGAATCCTTATGAAGCAGCCAAAAAACTGTTCACAGAGGCACGGAGTGGTAAATTGGAATGTACGAAAGAGGAACTCGATGCTTATGTTAAGCAGACGTACAGCGATTCAAGAAGAGAAGAACCGCTTCCTTATATGAGAGGCCTGAAGCGTCCAGCTGCCCCCGTCGTCAAATATTACCTGGGACCAATTAGAGAGAAAGAAGTAGATGAGTTCGTAAAAAAAGCAAGAGCAAAAAGTGCACCTGGAGGAGATGGCGTGTCTTATAAGGTGTTCAAGTATTGCGACACACTGAGACACACCCTCTTTGAGATGCTAAGAGGCCTTTGGAAAGACAAAGAAATCGTCAAAGATTGGTGCAGAGCGGAGGGCGTGTATCTACCCAAAGAACAGAATGCAAAGGAGATAGGACAGTTCAGACCTATTTCAATCATCAAGATCTTTATGGGAATACTTGCAAAGAGGACTGTAGCATATTTGCAAAGTAACGGCTATGTGGATGAAACGGTACAGAAAGCCGGGGTACCAGGGATCCCAGGCTGCATCGAGCATGCTTTCACCATTTGGGACACAATCCAAGAGGCCAAGAAAAACAAGGAAAGTTTAAACGTAGTGTGGTTGGATCTGGCGAATGCCTACGGGTCTGTTCCCCATAAATTGCTGATGAAGGCAATGGATTTTTTCTACGTCCCACAAGAGGTGCAAAACATTATGAGAGAATACTATAGTAACTTCCAGATGCGATTCTCAACCGCAAATTTCACAACGGAATGGCATCGACTAGAGATTGGGATTGCAGCTGGCTGCTCTATATCGGTCATCTGGTTCATCCTGGTAATGGAGATGCTACTGAGATCTGCAGAATGCTGTGAAGAAGAAGCAAAGGTGAGATCACCAAAGAAAGCCTTTATGGATGATGTGACCCTACTGACAAGAGATGGAGACACAATGCAAAGTGTGTTGAATCGGCTCGATAAGCTTATCACCTGGGCCAGGATGAAGTTTAAAGCTAAAAAGTCTAGAAGCCTGACTATTAACAAAGGAAAACAGAAGCAACTGAAGTTCACAATTGCAGGGGAGCAAATGCCCACAGTAAAAGAACAACCCGTGAAAAGTTTGGGTCGGTGGTACTCAGGAACTCTGTCTGATAGGAGTCAAGGCGTGGAAATCATGAAGCAGGCTGAAAATGGGCTGAAAGCAATTGACCAGACAAAGCTTCCAGGAAAGCACAAGATATGGTGTCTACAGTTTGCCCTCTACCCTCGATTGGCGTGGCCACTGACAATGTATGAAGTTGCTTTGTCAAGAGTTGAGATGATCGAAAGAAAGTGTAACAGCTACATCAGGAAGTGGCTGGGGCTACCCCGTACCATTAACACGTCATCCCTGTACAGACATAGAGGTGCGCTTCAACTACCTCTCACGTCAATCGTGGAGATCTACAAAGCAGGCAAGATTAGAACCGTTTTGATGTTGAGAGAATCAAGGGATAAGGAGATCAGTGGAAAACCTCCAGATGTCAAAACAGCCAGAAAGTGGAAGGCAGAAGTTGCAGCTAACGAGATCATCTCTGCATTGGAGCATGGGGACATTGTCGGTCCAGCGCAACCTGACAGATTAGGGCTAGGTAATGGCGACTTTAGACCTTTCAGGAAAATGTCTCAGCGAGACAGAAGAAAAGCTACAACAAGACATATGCAAAAGATGGAGGCAGAGAGGCGAGAAATTCATCTCATCCAGTGTAGCCAGCAAGGACAAATGACCAGATGGGAAGAGCATGTAGTGGAAAGAAAAGTCGGGTGGAGTGACATCTGGAAGTGGAATACATCAAGGCTGAGCTTTCTTCTCCGGTCTACGTATGATGTTCTGCCTTCACCGGTGAACCTTGTCAGATGGAAGGTACAGGAGGACAACAAGTGTAGATGCGGTAAGCTAGGAACCATGAAGCATATTTTGTCAAACTGCAACCTAGCTCTTAACAGATACACCTGGAGGCACAACGAGGTGTTGAAAGTGCTCACGAAAATGGCGACACAACAGGTGGAAGAAGGAAAATATGCCCCCAAGATACAGAAGCATGGACCCACCAAGATTGCGTTCGTTCCGCAAGGAAGCAAGGTTGCCAAAAGAAAGAAAGCGAACGAAGCCATGAAAGACCAGAGCGGAGGCACATGGGAAGTAGCTGCTGACTTAAAAGGCTTTGAGAGATTCTTCCCCATTCCAACTACGAAAAAGCCAGACATTGTGTTATGGGAGGAAAAAGACAAAGAGGTACACTTGGTAGAGCTCACGGTGCCCCACGAGGACAATATCTATGCCGCTCATGAGCGGAAAGAAAACATTTATGAGGCACTCGTCGAACAATGTGAGGAGGCAGGATGGAAGGCAACCCATTTTCCGGTAGAGGTAGGATGCAAAGGTTTTGTAGCAACAAGCGCCCGTAAGTGGATGAGAGTGGCAGGACTTACCGCAAAGAAAAGCAACGAACTCACAAACTCCCTTCAGGAGACAGCAGAGAAAGCCAGTCATTGGATCTGGTTGAAGCGAGAGGACTCAAGCTGGAATGAATCCTAAAGTTGGCAGCAGAGGAAAACAGTCGAACTAACATGGAGACCTCACATCGGTGAGGGAGCTCGGTGCGTCAGAAAAGCTGTAGAGAGGAAGAGCCCGAAACAGCGAAGCATTCTCTCCTGATGATCTCCATGCTAGAGTCCGGGATATGGAGCGTTCGACGGTGAGCAGTGCATACGGCTGTTTAGACTACGTACCTTGTTATATATTGTGTGATACTATATGGTTTGAATATCTGTGTTATTTCAAAACAAATATCTACAAGGATTAATAAAAAGGGGGTCATTTTTCAGTTCTTTTTTGGACCAAATCTTACTCAGTTTCTGAATTACAATTGACTGCAAAATACATTGTTCACACAGACTTTTAGTTAAGTTTTAGGAAGAGTTTTACTGCACTTGCAACACAATAAGGTCGTATAAGTGCCGAAGATAAGAGGTGTTACAAGAGAGTAACAAACACAAAAAAGAAGGAGGGGAGATAAAGACGTTAGATGTTTGATAGGAAAGAAGTCTAAGCAAACCACACCAGAGCAGCCGTCAACCATCCACTCACAGACTTTCATGTTAGCTATTTTTTTTATTAAAGTTTCAGATCAAATGAAAGTTTGTATTTCTTTTGCCAGCTTTTCAATATGTATGATGCTTCTGAACCAGGTCGCTACTGAAGTGGCATTTTGGGGATACTGCTTTCATAAGCCCCAAGATCTCCACCTTGTCCTGTGCTATATTTCTACCTATTTTCACCCATACTGGGATCCATTGTCCAACTACAAATAGTTTTAGTGCTCACAAAACCAAATCCATCAATATTTGACTGAATTATAGCCGTTTTAAGGTAACACCTTTCGCCGCTGGGTGCATAAAATTTCGGAACTTACTGTGTACCGAAAGAGTTAATATGTATAGGAAAAATTTGTATTTTTTACGAAGTGCTCACCCTCATGTCTTGATTTACCATTTTTTCTAGTTATGTTGTGCTGGTCTCATGATCACGGAGAGTGCCTACATCGGTCAGTTGGTGCAAGGACACTGGGACGAGACTCCAAGTTCTCTTGTGTATGCCAGCAGCATGAAACTAGCATCTTTTGTACGTATTCATCTTGTAATCCAATTTTTTTGCATTTCATGCGCTATATTATGGCTTATTGTTGGTCTGTTCACTTCAATCCATTGCTAATGATGTTAAATACATTACTGATTTTTTCCTATCCAGCCTTTAAGGCACTTTGTCTTTCAGGCTACAGCTTGTCGGTTTTCAAAAGTAGTCCAGTTATTAGTGAGAGGAATTTATTTGAATATGGGCCAGAGGCAACACATGCCTAAAGACCACTGGATTAGCAACAACAATCAGAATTCCGGATTTTAACCTAGACAATGTATATGAACACTCAAAGATTTTGATGATCGGTTTTCTCAAGGTTTTTGCTGAGCCATAAGTGTTCCATAACCCCAAGTTTGGCTCATGTTTATAAAACTTCAATGTTCTCAATTTATCAAGGCTGCTATCTTTTGAGTCAATTGAAAAAAAGACACTTTCTGTTATTGGGGGGTTTTTTGGTGTTATTTAGCTTTTTGGTTCTTCCCTCATGTTGCAAAATCTTAGGATATTGTCAAGATATTATTTTTATTATTAAGATAATGAACGCTTTTTTCCCCAGGGTCTATTGCTTCCGGTGATATTTTTGGAGTGGAGGAAATGCAGGAGACAGTCCCCCGGACTTCTGCTCTTTTTCCTGTTGCTCTTGTTGACGCATATTGTGCCTCTATATTCAAACATTATTCTGGAGGTGAGAAGCTATTTGACATAAGACGTTCTGCAGTTTTTGGTTTGTGGCCTTTCATGATGTTTTTCTGTGCTGATATTTACCCTGTCACATTATTGCTTTTTAGTTTCTATTTTTCTGGTTGGTCTGTATGTAACAATGAATCTTTGGTGAAAAATAAGGTTTTTATTTTGAAAAATAAATGTGTTTTACATCTTGTCTATTTGATAGAAAATGAGTATAGATGAACCTGCCCTAAACAATCGTCTCTACAAACAGCCACTTACGCCCCCCCCCCCCCTCCCTTCCCCTTTGCAATTGTTCTGCGTTAATAAAAACAACCCTCTCCAAGACACCCACTTCTTTTTTCCTTGGCAATGGGTGGCTGTCTAAGACAATTTGTACTGTTGTTGATCTTTGTAGCGGAGGAAGAGGACTGCTCAATCACAAGAACGAATGAAAGTATAAAACTAGGAGAAATAGTTTCAGCAATGAATATTATTCATTTGGGTGGGGGGGGAATGTTGACTATCCAGGAATCCAGGATATACATTAATTTAGCGCTGTACTTGAAGCTTGACATTTATGGATTTTGTTTCTTTACATGGCAGACAGAAACTACTCAATCAGTTGTTTGCAAAAAAGATGAATATGCTTGAAATTGTCCAAGAGAGCGACCCATTGCCTTGAAAAATGTGTTTGTCTTAGACAAAGGAATGTTTTAGGCAGTACCATTAGAACACTGGGAAAAAAAGGGGAGGGGGGGTTGTTGTAGTACAGGGAATTATTTTAGATAGGTGGTCCTTAGAAATATTGGAGAGACATGGTTGAGTCGTTTTGTTAGAGTTACATCTTCTTATTGATCTCTTAGCTTCTCAAAACAAATTGTGAAAACCTCTATAAACTTCTATGTGCAATTGATCATATTCAGGTATATGAAGAAGAGACATCCCTCTTTGTCACATTTGCTGTCAATTATGTCGCTATTCTGACCGGAACTGTTCTGCATTGTTTCAACTCCAGGATAAAAGCCTGGGAGGTAAGAGTTCCTTGCACACTGTCTAATGAAATTTGATCCATTTCATGAAATACAATCTAACCTGCTCTCACACTTTTAGTACCTTCGGTGACTTTAGTCGCCAGGCCGTCGTATGCACTCTTTACCGCTGACTCGACCAGGCACACTAAACATAATTAAACAATGAACAGCGCCACTGCACTGAAGTAAATACCAAAAGAAGTCTCTCTTTATGAATGGTTGATGAACATCTGCGAATTTTTAAAGTATGTTTCTTAGGCTGCGAAGGTTTTTTTTTTTTTTTCTTTAAGAAATTCAACCATATCTTCAGCGTTCTAAATTGGTGCGGTACTTGAGGGTGCGGTAGGAAAAATATCCGTGTCCGAACCGAGACTCCAACCCGGACTTTCTGTGTCGATGTACTACTCTTTATTTAAACTCAAAATAGGAATGTTTATATACAGTTCCCACTAATATAGGAATTAAATTGTAAGTTTTTTCTGTCAACTTCCCCAGGTGCAATCTCCTGAAGAAGGGGCATCCATTCTGTCCAAAGTGACCATGTGGTGGACAACCAGGTATGACAGACTACTTTGATGGCTGAGACATATCTCCAAATCATAAATCTTTTTCCTTTTTTTGTAATCTGGGAAACAGTAACCACTCTAAAATTGGTGTTCCGTGAACGTTTTGAATTAAAGATTTGGGTTACCCAGTGCCCTCAAATTCTTAAAAAGCATGGATTCAAGTCGCAAACAAAACAAAAAACGACTCATTATACAGCAGCTCATTTGTGTCAGTAAGAGTAGGACGGCATATTCTTACAAAATCTAAGCACACAAGCCAAAACTGTTCACGCATAGCTATATTAATTTTTTTATTTCATTTTTTTCAGTTTGATCATATCTGGATATAAGAAGCCCTTAACGGAGAATGATGTCTACCCCCTGAGCACCAAGATAAGATGTGGCACTGTATTCCCACATTTTTTGCACCATTTGGACAAAGAAATACAAAAATGGTAATTGACCATTACAAATTTTGGGGATTTAGGTACCCTGAAAGAGGAATCTCATGGCACTTCAGAACTCTCAAGTGGGTGGTTGGCGGGTGCCCTGGTGTGGTTTGCTCCTTTTTTCCTATCGAACATTTATTGCCCTTTTCTCTCTTCGTTTTTTGTGTTTGTTACTCTCTTGTAACACCCTCCCCCCCCCCCCCCCCCCACCAGGGCAGTGCTACTGACTGAAGTGTCTTTAGGCAATTCCCAAATGGGGAATATTAACATGTTCTTAAGCACAGTAGAATTGTAAATGGACTGATTTATCAATGTCATGCTCATACTGTGCCACAACAACATAGGGGGAACTGCTGCTTTTTTCTTTCCTCATCCTTACTATTGTCATTCCTCTACTTCTTTTGTATGTTTATCACTCTCTTGCATGGGTCTCAATATTCCGCTTTTTAGCGGATTTCCGCTACCGCCATTTCTTCGGCTAAACTCCGCTACCGCCACAGCGGGCCAATTAGAAAGAGAGTAGCTGGGAGCAGGGTGACTGCCAGGCCCCGGGAATTTGAAAAAAAAAATTGCTGAGACCCAGGAAAATACATCAAAGATCTCGAGTATTTGAAAACCATATCCAATAACTTCTTTAGGTTCATTTTTGCCTGTAGCGCTTGTGATATTAATTCGGCTTTTCCCGGTCTGAGAGTACGTTTCACGTGAACAGGCGGCTATGGCAGCAATCGGAATTGTATGTGACACCGAGGCTCGACCGGAAAATCAAGATCTACTTTCGCTTTCGTTACCACCCAGAAATTTGTCAGTAATAGTCTGATAACGCAACATTTGTAACATGCAAGTTCGGCATTACAAACGTGGTGTCGCAATTAAAATAAATCAATATTCCTCACTGTGCTGTCACTTGCGGGGGCCAAAATAAAAAAAGAAAGTTTACAAGCGTCTTTTTGGGCTCGCCATTGTGACCGGTCAGTGAACCTGTGCACGTTCTGAGCACTGAGAAGTACAGAACTGCGAGATGGGGGAGATTAATGATTTTTTTTTTTTAAGATGCGCTCAGGGGGAGGGCTGAACGTGACACCGGAGGACAAAAAAACTGAAACTGGAAGCAAATTTTTAATATTTAGAATTTTGATTTCTATTACTACAGCTCTCTGCAAAGTAAAGAGCGCGTTGGTGCAGGCTTTGTGTGTGAAATCGGGAACCGTCATAACTTGTAAGCATGTTGTTGAACTTAGAGACGTAAGTGTTCGCGTTTCATTGGAAGGGTGACAGTAAATTACCTCTCTATATTTTAGCTTTCTGTTCAAGATTCGCAGATTTTTAGTGTCACTGCATTTTGCCCTCCCTTAGTTCTTACACCTCTCACACTGAATAGGTCTACTTGAGCTATTCAAGTTATTACTCTACTTTGAGTTTGAGCATTAATTTTTGCCTTTCACGTATCATGACACCCAGACTGGTACATGACAGTTGATATTCTGGTTCTAGGCCTTTTCTCGGGCTCAAGACAAGATTAATTTTTATATATAGTTTATATATGCAGGCGAATATGATGATGGGAAAATTAAATAAGTCGCACAAGACCCCAGTGGACCACCACTTTCTGTACATAATCAAGATTGTAAATATTTGGTTAGTGACTGTTACTTGAAATTATCTTCCAAACCCTCAAATTGATGTGAAATAACCTTGCTTTGATAAATTAGTGGTTTTTATTTCAGCATTCTAGGGTTCAACAGTAGATCTATAAACTATAATAATAATGGGTGTTTCGCGAGAGTGGGCTTCTGTCGCGATCACCCGGAAAGTTCCTCCTTTTTTAAAATTCTGAGTTGAAACCCATGCTCATGTGAACGACTATTTCTGGGGTGCCTTGACAGTTGAAGCAGACTTTGTGCTGTTGAGGCTAGAGATATGAGCAGAGTAAGCCTGATTCCCCGTTTGGACTTCTCTGTTGACATTCACCACTTGGTACTCATAATATGCAGTTTCGAGTGCGTAAAACCTTACTAAAACTAAAAACATCTAATCTATGGCCCTTAATATGACCTAATTGTGTAACAATTAAGTGCCTTGAAAAGCTTACTTAAGCAAACATAACAGAACACTCAAGAACAAAAGATTTAATCTTGTGTGCTCTCAAGAAAAATCGTCTACCCTCTGGCTGTTCCATAAAGATTTGCAGCAAGCTAGTCAGCAATGGAGATCCCTTGGAAATTGTAAAATATGAGGCAGCGTGGTGGAATCAGGCTCTCGTCAATTTTTGGGCAAGTGGAGTTATTGGTATCATCTTATAGCTTGTTCACTTGTCTTTATTTGGATGGAAAAAAAATATCCATTTATCTTGAATACAAGTCGAGATATTTGCGAATGAAGGAGGTGGGATTTTCAGAAGTAAAATTAGTGAGAAAATGACCGCCAAATATTAGTTATTTCCTTAGCCAAGAGTCCGTGGTAACAGAAAATGTACATTTTTTTGTGCTTTTAATCGTTTTTCAGAAAAATCCACACAGAAAATAGTTCTTTAATGGACATGAAAGGTATTGAGCCAAAAACCAAAAATTTGATAAGAATTCACAAACCTGTGGAAAAATGCAAGTTTCTTCTCTTTGATAATTTTGACGAGAGCCTGATTCCACCATGCTGCCTCCCAAATTATTTTGACTAGGCTCATAATAACATTATGACTGTTATTTAGTTGTATGTTGCCAAAAATTGCTTCTGTTATCTCTTGATGCACTTTTCTTAGACTTCGGCAAAAAAAATGTTTCAAAAACTAAGTTGACAGTTGTAGTGTTTGTTTCATCAACTTCTTTACAGATTTAGGACTTCGTCATCTTTATACTTATCATATCATAATAATAAGACACATCCTTACTTCTGCCTTGATTTCAAAATGTATCGACCATGTCTCTCCTTTGGAGCACATCAAAGAATTCAAGATCTGAAGTGAAGGGAGTAGTACATTGGCAATCTACTACCTCTATGTCTACCGCCCAAGCAAAACTGTATCATGCATGCTGCTTTAAACCTATCCGTACGCCCTTGGGTCATTATTTACCCCCGGGGTTGTATTCTTCACATTCTAGAATACTTCTAGGACGAAGATCTCTTTGATACTTTCAGTATTTCTCAAAAAATCATTTTGACAGACTGCTATGCAAAACGTACAGATCGGATTAACGAGTAAATTTCCTCTTTGGAAAGTGGTGGCACAGAGTTCCCCACGTCGTATGGATACGATAGTAAAATGTGATAGGGTTAAGATGTTTTGTCAAGTCATAGATTTTAATAGAAACCATCTAATAAAGTTATTAAGTATACAATGAGTCAAATCCCTTTTAGGTCTCGGCATTGCTTGTAGTAGCTGGTGTGGAAGTGGGAAGTGGCTGTTTGTACCGGCGATTGTCTTAGACAGGTGGCCGTTAGAGCAGGTTTGACTGTACTATGCTTACTGATCAAAAGGGACCAGTGTGGCTCTGACTCTCCATAAATTTCTACTTTACTGATCTATCGCTTCTTATAAGATAAGATAAATCTTTGTCCAGATCCTGGCACATTGGTTTTGTGTTTCACTGCATTTACACACACACACACGCACACGCATACACACACACACACACACACACACGCACGCACACACACACACACACACACACACAAGATCTTGTCTTATCTTATTATGTATCTTAAGGTGTTGTCTTTCTTACCTAGTTTTCTATTCTGTTAACTTAATTTTTGTACATAAAAAAAAATTTAATCTTTTCTGACCAAGCTGGCAAAAGCAATCTGCTTTGGAGAGAGCACCAGGGAACAAAGGTTTAGTGGACTACAAGAAGGCAAGGGGGGCTGACCTTGCTCAGAAGAAAACTAAGGCTGTGTCAAATGGGGAAGTGCTGGATGATGAGTGTGGAAAAGGAGACAGTAGTGCCGAGAAAGATAGAGATGTGAGTGAAAAGTTGCTTGATGACGATGAGATTACAGTGGAGATCAGGACTGGATCGACTAAGTCAGGGTCTGCAGAGACAGGAGCAGGCTCTGCATTCTTGTGGAAAGTGAGTGGAGTCAAAAATTGTTATACTATCCATCCATTTATCTATCTATCTATTTACCAATCTGTCTGTCTGTCTGTCTGTCTGTCTGTCTGTCTGTCTGTCTGTCTGTCTGTCTGTCTGTCTGTCTGTCTATCAGTGAGTGTATCTATCTGTCTGTCTGTCTGTCTGTCTCCCTCTCTCTGCCTTCATTAAAGATACCATTATTGTCAAAAATTATTATGGCAGCTAGCAGACTAGCTGAAAATGTATATATATTCAGTCCATATTATGAAAGTTGGGATGTTTTTATCAAAAACGCAGTACCAATTAGTCTGATAATGGCTGACTAACGACATTGATGAAAATTGGCTTCAGCGTGAGCTTGACATATCTATTGAAGTCCACAGGTGATCTTCCGCACCTTCTACCGTTCTGTCATCTTCTGCAGCGTAATGGCTCTGATAGCGACGTTCTTCAGTGTGATGGGTCCACTGCTGGTCAAGTGAGTCATAGAGAGACGGGGAAGAGGAAAAAGAAGAAAAGGGAGAAGAAGAGAAAAAAAAAGAAGAAGAAGAAGCAGAAAACCAACAACATCAAAGAGAACAAGGAGAACAGGAAAAGGGAGAGGAAGAAACTGGAGAACAAGACTGAAAAACATTGGGAGAAGAAGAATGGAAGAGAGGGAAAATATGGTAAAAAAAGGAGGGAGAGTAAAGGAAGGAGAAGAAAGGAGGGACGATAGAAAGGAACAGAAGGAAAATAAGAGTAGAAAAAAAGAAGAAGATTAAGGAGGCAAACAAAAAGAAGTGGTAGAACAAGAAGGGAAAACAACGGAAGAGCAAGAGAAGAGCGAAGAGAAGAAAGAAGAAAAGGAAAAATAAAGTAGAAGAAGAAAAAGAAGGAAGAATGAATGAAGGAAAAAGAAAGAAGTTGAGAGAGTAAAAAAAAAAGAAGGAAAATATTGTTCTTCACAGGGTTTTCCTGCATTACTTACACCCTCATTGGATCGAGTACAGGATGGGGATTCGGATGACTCTATGATCTGAATTTTTTCCCAAAATATATCTGAGCCCCCCACCCTCTCTTTCCTAAACTAACCCCTTAAAATGTTTGTCTGTCCTCAGATATTTGATATTGTTTATCTCTGACAAGGAGGCGCAGTCCTGGCATGGTTATTTGCTGGCTGTCGCACTGTTTTCCACCTTTGGCATTGCACACATTCTCTCTGAGTTTTTCTACTACCAGTGCAACAAATTTGCTGTGACAGTGAATACATCTATTCTTTCTGCAGTATATCAAAAGGTTTGAGAGGCTTTCTTATTTTCTAACCATAATTTTAAAAGAGTATTTAGAGATTACCTTGTTTTAGGACTTTTCTTTAAGAACATCCATCAGTAGTACTAAAGTTTATGCTTCGTCTATCATGCAAAGGATGTAAGTTGGTTCTGGTGTAAGTAACAATACTGTGATGAGCACCTTGGCCTTCTGTTAAGAAGTATCACCAACAGCCCATGTTGGTCCTAAAGGGCAGGGTTGAAGCCACTCACCTTCCAAATGATCTACATTGTTGTGAGATATGTGTTTTAAATATTGATTTTAAAGGAGTCCTTTGTTTTCTATTCTGTGTAAGAAATTCACAGTTTTCGTTTGATTAGCCATGTTCTTTTTACCCCCAGTCTCTGTCAAGCATTTCACTGAATTGATTTTTTTTATTTTGTCTTTTCTGTCAACATATTTGCCTGTCACACTGAGTAACTTGAACCTTTTCTTCTTCTCATTCTTCGCCGGCAATGGCTGCCTATTTTGTTGTGTTTTCTATGTGCATTTTTCACTCTGCGCATATTCGCTATGTGCTTGCTATAGTATATTTCAGTGTTAAGTCTCGATTTTAGCTGATACTCACTGACTTTTGTTAAGATAAAGATGAACTTTATTGGTCCTTGAGGGAAACTTTGAGTCGATGTATCAGAACCTCATCATACAGAGAGTCAGTTTCAATACAGACACCTATGTTCAATGATACATGTAACGAAGATGCACAACGCACTCACACAAATATACACAGACAGTGTCTCTGTTTCTGTTGGTGTTGTACAGCCTTGAACTCGAGCCTGATTTCCGGTTTTTCAGTCTCTTCGTCTGAGCAGTGAGGCCCGCCAGTCAACATCTGCAGGGGCAGTAATCCAACTGATATCGTCTGACAGTAACAGTATTTGGGGTCTCTGCAATGAGATGTTCATGCTGCTTCAGTGTATTCTTCAGTTTTCAGTGGGTGTCGCCCTTGTTTACCAGGCAATGGGTGTGGCAGTTTTTGCTGGTGAGTTTAACATGACAGGATGAAGCTGCAGAGTTATATTTTTCATGTCTTTGATAAACAATTTGTAGTAAAATTAACACAGCAATTTTTTTATAGATGGACATAAAAGGTGTTGACCCCCCCGGGGCAGTGCCACTGACCGTAGTGTCTTTAGGCCATTCCCAAAGGGGGGACATTTCTCGTTCAAGCACAGTAGAATTGTAAATGGGCTGATTCATGTCACGCTCATAACTGTGCCTGATCTACAAAAGGAAACTGCTGCTTTTTCTTTCTTAATCCTTACTATTGTCATTTTCCTCTACTTCTTTTGTATGTTTGTCACTCTCTTGTGACCTGCTATTTCCGGGGTGCCTTGATAGTCGAAGTAGACCTTGTGCTGTTGAAACTAGAGAGATGAGCAGAATAAGTCTGATTCCCTGTAAAGACTTCTCTGTTGACACCCACCCCTTGGCACTCATATGACCTTATGCAGTTGCGAGCGCCGTAAAACCCTCTATTATAAAAAAAATAATAAAAGGTGTTGAGCCCCCGAAAAAGAAGAATTGCCTGACGTGCAGAAAATGTTTATTCTTAGATTTCATTATTTTGATGAGCACTTGATATCACCATAGATAGTGCCACACATATAATAATTTAGAGCAAAATGAGTCAACAGACAGTGGCAGTGATGCTCAGATAGTGTTCTGACCCATCCCACCTCTCTGTTTAAAATCTCTCTGTATGAATTTGTTGTACAGGTCTGAGTGTGTTGGCAGTACTGTTTGTGATCAAGTCAATCACCTTGAGGAAACACGCTCAGCTTGACCAGATCATGAAGAAGCAGGCGGACAAAAGGCTCAAGGTCATCACCGAAGTTTTGAGTGGCATCAAGGTTTGAGTCACATTTTAAAAATCATTTTGAGATGTACACCGAGAGGTCGTCATGGCAACATCACATTTTAAAGGGAGGCAAAGTAATGACTGAGTCCATATTGTGAAAATGATCACCACTGCCTTTCGCACACCGAATCCAGGTATAAGCCCCAAACAAATGCTTTCCACCTCTCCCTATCCTGGGCTAGCCTCTTAATAATATTCCATATCTTTCCACTTTGCTGTACATCATTCTCTGTGACTTTTCTCCAAGCTCCAGGTGGTCTTCCCCTTAATTTCAGACCCCGCGAATTCCGATCTAAATTTGAGTGAATTTGTTTTTGTTTGTTTCCTTTGGAAGATATGAGGTGTGTGAGAGAATGAAAATACAAGCCTAATAAAGTCTGATATAGGTGTCTTTTAAGAATTAAATAGCATCAAAGTGGGGACATTTTTTTGGTATAAATCCAAGACATTTACCTGTCTAAGACAACCAGTTTTCTCCTCGTCAAGAGGTGGCCGTCTTGGACAATTTTGACCATGTGATATAAACATATTTATTTGTTATTCTTTTTCCAAGAATGTTTTTCCTCTTTTGCTTTGCCATACCACTCTAAGAGGCCACATTACAAGCAAGAGAGCGGGGCTGAGCGGGGACAAGAAGAAATAAGTCGTATAAAAGATATTTCTGTTTGAATGGCCATACTGTGAGCGGTTCCCGTGCGAGTCTTGTTAGCTTTGAGCGAGTCTATACTTTGTTTTGTTTCTCCTCGCTTCCTACTCGGCCTGTTAACGTGATTTATTACCTCTGGATTGGAGTGTCTTGTGCCGCTTCTTGACCCACTTCCCGTCTATTGTTCAATCTAACTTCCCCGTTTAACTATTTTCAACAACCAATTTAAAGTTCAAGATCTGAAGTTCCATTTTAAGTGACACCACAATTTTTTTTATGTTTTCTTTGTTGGAGCAGAAAACGAGAATTTAAAAAAAGGTAGTAGAATACCAACTTTGAAAACCTATACAAACATAATACATCTATGCAGGTGGTAGTGGTACTGGTGCTGGTAGTAGTAGTGGTAGTTGTGGTGTTAGTGGTGGTGGTGGGAGTGGTAGTGGTCGTGATGGTGGTGGTGGTGGCAGTTATAGTACTAATAGTAGTATTAATAGCAGCAGTAGCAATAGCAGTGGTAGTAGTAATAACAGCAGGAGCAGCAGCTGCAGCAGAAATGTTAGTATCAAGCAAATTTTCTTCATCTCCCTTTAAATCGTGTGTTAAGTGAAGTAATTCTCCAAAAATCTTTCTTTGTGATGTAATGGGATGCACTGAATAATAATTTCTTTTGTTATCTAAAGCAAATTTGCTCCGCAAGTAAGGTGAACTTTCAAGCAATTTAAACACAAGAAACTGTCTATGGCCAGCCATCTTGCTCATTTTGAAATAGTGACACCACCGTTCCCTCACATTTCAGTGTTTGTAGATTTCATCCCCTGGCTGTCTGGAGGTGTCCACATTATCCAAATGAGTCTAGAAAATTACTCACCCTCATCTCTTGAATCATGTTTCTGACCCACGGGACAATCAGCTAATCAGTTTTCACCTCAGCTGTTTCCTGCTAATTTGCTGCTTATTTCTCGCTTTTGAAAAGCAGCTCAAAGTATGGCTACCCCCAAGTTAATAGCTCATCGCTAGCTTCAGCTCTCACTTGTAATATGGCCTCACCCGAAGAAATGTAGTAACATTTCCTGCTCTTTCTTTTGTCTTTCATGAGTGGTTGGCAGAAGCTCTGGTATGGTTTGCATTTTTTTATCAAGCATTTATCGCTTTGATCACTTCTCTCTTTTTTGTGTGTGCGTGTGTTAGTCTGTTGTAGTAACTCCTCTAATCTTTGGTACGTATATGACTTATTTGTGTTGCAAGTGCCATAAAACTCTAACTAAAACTAAAACATGTCTTTCTATCCTGAAGCCTTTTCTCTCCACCAGGCTGCATGTCTCTTTTAAGATAAATCTTTATTTTTCCAGACACTGGCACATTGGTTTGGTGTTTCACCCCACACACACACACTCACACTCACACACACACACACACACACACACTCACACACACACATCCACTCACACACACACATACTCACACAAACACATACCCACACACATGTGAACACACTCACACACACACACACACACACACACACACGCATTCATGTGCACACACCTATACACATATACTCTCTCACACATCCTTTCTTCCTCACACATATGCATATATACTTTTTTTTTAAATGAAACCCCAATGCTGTTGTTTTATCTTAACCCTTTAAACCCTGGGACTGCAAAACCCTTGTACCTTAGCTCTCTCGGATAGACCCTTAGATTTATACCAATGCTCACCAAGGTGTGAGTTGGATGCCTAGAAGAGTAAGAAGCATTCTCACTCAAGCTTGCACTAGGGTTAAAAACTTAAATATTTCAGTGACCTTCCCATACTCCCTCTACCCATTTTTTTCCCTTTTATTCTCATATCCTAAGCAAATAATGTTTGGTTTTCTTTTTCTTTTTCTTTTTTTCTTTTTTTTTTTGTTTTTTTGGGGGGGGAGGGTTTTAGATGAACAATTCTAAACCTCTATCTCTTTCTTTATCTTTTCTAGGTACTGAAACTCTATTCATGGAACGCAGCGTTTAAGCGACTCATCAGTGAAATAAGAGAAGTGGAACTTACTGCTTTGTTCAAATTTGATATGCTGGGTTTGGTCATCACGTACAGTTGGACCGGAGCCATTTTCTGGGTGAGCATCTCTCATAGATCAATGAAATTATCAGGTGGGCCAGTTTTTCGGCTATCCGGCTTTTGCGTCTTTTTGCGGCTGAGATGAAAATGTTTACTGCCTGGTCGGCAAATTGTAACCCGACACCGGCTAGGCCTGAAGGAAGACCAGAAGGGGTCGTTGAACTCTTGTACATTTCTGGTTGGGGCAGGGCATTATTCGATTATTTTTATAAAACAAATAGGTACCTAGTTTTTTTTTAATCCAAATAAACAAGTCAGAAACTAGGTACATTTACCTAGTATTAAAAGAGGGGGAGGAGTGCAAACTGGCTGGCACCTCCACCAAGAGGAGAAAATAATTTCTTTACAGCAAGACCTTCACCCATCCATTATGCACATCTATATGCAGTTATTGATGAGTTCTATTTTTTTAATATTTAGGTTTTTCTGATAGGCCTAGGCCTATGTATTAAATATTTTGGCACATGTTAATATCTTATCTATTTTTAATTTAATGCGGTGCGCCATGCAGAGACTTTTATTCTGAAAAATGTTCAGGCCTTTTTATCAGAACACTGAACTTTTGGGGTTGTTTTTTTGTTGGGTTGTTGTTGTTTTTGCTTTGTTTTGTGGGGGAGGGGGGGGAGTAGTAAGTTGAATGGAAAGGACAAATTTGTTAAAGAGGATCTCATCATATTATGTTCTACTGTACAGTTATGACTGATCTACAGATGATTCTGAAAAGGTACAGAAGCTTATATCAGACATTTTATTTTCTTAGAGCATATGTCCACTTATGGAAACCAGCACGATTTTAAATTAAATGGTGCAAGCTCAAGTGACTGCAGTTTCTGGAAATTCAAGTGTAGTTTGATATGACAAGGACTATAAATTAATGCTTACTGAAGGAAGTAGCCAATAAGTTACTGTCTCAGCATTTTGTTATCATGTAAGCACTGGACTTCTTTTTCAAGTATTTTATACCCCCGGGGCGGTGCCACTGACTGAAGTGTCTTTATGCCTTTCCCAAAGGAGGGGCTTTTCTCGTTCATGCACAGTAGAATTGTAAATTGGCTGATTCGTCAATGTCACGCTCATAACTGTGCCTGATTTTCAACAGGGAACTGCTGCGTTTTCTTTCCTAATCCTTTCTATTTTCATTTTCCTCTACTTCTTTTGTATGTTTGTCACATTCTTGTGGCCCACTACTTCCAGGGTACCTTGATAGTCGAAGCAGACTTTGTGCTGTTGAAGCTAGAGAGGTGAGCAGAGTAAGTCTGATTCCCTGTAAGGACTTCTCTGTTGACATCCACCCCTTGGTGCTCATATGACCTTATGCAGTTGCGAGCGCCGTAAAACCTCTACTAAGCTAAATTAAACTAAGATATTTTATTGTCCTGTTGTGTATTCTTGCACTAATGTGAGCATTACTGCCCATTCACTTAGTATTATGCTGGAATTTGGTAGAAGTTGGATTGCTTGTTCATTTCAGATGGTTTTCTTCATTTTCGTAACGCACGTGCTAGTGGAAGATGACCATCGCTTGGATGCAGCGACAGTGTTCGTTACAATGGCCTACTGTACATTCATTAGACAAGCTGTCAACAAATCGGCCTATGTGTTTGGCTTCATTGTCACTGTAAGTACATTTTTTTCCCTTTCAGTGTTCTCAAAGCTTCGTATGTCTGGAATGCAGGGATGTTGCTTCCTGATACAATGAACAATGAACAAAGCTTCTTGTGGTGTGTGGGGGAGTTTTTGTATTGATGGTTGTTGTATCATAATTATGTTTGATTGTCTCGTCACCTATTTCTGCCCCTACCCCCTCACCTCCTTTGCCCCCTCCTCTGGGCTCCTGACTCTTTCTGCAGCCTTTCTACTGCTACTTGGCTCTTTCTTACTGCTGTCTTTCAGCCACTCCCCTGGTCTTATGGTCGGTAAGATCTACACCTAGCCTTCTCGGATAAGGGTGAAAAAGTCTTGGAGGTCCCATTTGCAAAATGCGCACGTTGAAGATCCCTTGGTGGTCCAAAATCGATAGAAGTACGCTCGGCCACCACCCGGGCAAAATCCAAAATTTCCTACCAACTGAAAATATTTAATGTGTCCTGCGCTCTCTTATGACCTTATTTTAGAGAAGAAAATTTTTCGTCGCTCTCCAAGACTTATTGAATGAGAGGCCAGCACCTTAACATCCAGACCGCGAAAGCTCCCGCATTTTGGTCTTTCAATAACACTTGAAGGCTCACTGTTCAAGAAGCATAACGCCATTATCCATATAGATTAATTCAATTCGATTTTCTTTATCTTAAACTTGAAAAGGCAAACTACAACACATTTAGTATGAAATAGGAAAATATATATTTCTGATTTGCATGATATAGTTCAAAATAAGCGGGAAAATGCCAGTTTCTTCTATTTCATTATATTGATGAACGCCTGATTTCACCACAACGCCTCACATGTTCACTTTTTTTAAGAAGCATATTCATGTTTCTGTTTTATTTAAGAAATCAGGAATACTCCAGGGTGTGGTAATCTCAACAAAAAGGATATAAATAGGTCTTTGGAAAGTCGCAAAAACACTGTCTGAGAATGAAACCGGTAAACCCCAGCACAAATTCCCACCAAAATTAAATTAAAGATTTACTTCATTCGTACAATTTCATTACCGCTAATTCTAATCCTTTTGACTGGTTTCTGGTAAAATTCTGTTCAAAGCTGTTGTAATGCAGTTATAAAAATCCTGTATGGTGTACATATTATGGTCCACATTATTGCTGTAATCAACTGATATTTGCATCTACGTTGTAAAGAAGGATAACATTTTAGCCCGCGATGTTGGACGTGTGGTGTACAGGAACTGTCACAAAGGGGCTAAAGCAAAATTTTTATGCTGTTTAGATCTGATTGTTTCCAGTCGTTCTTAACATAAATGAACGTGGTCCTTGAGTTGATGAAAGGTGTGACTTCACATTTTTGGTGAAAATTTGGCTTTGTAAAATTCTTTTTCAGGGTATAGTGTCTGCCAAGCGTATTGGGAAGTTTCTACTCCTGAAAGAGGTGACAAATACTGAGGTCCAAGGGGATCCTGCTAATGCAACTCTACCTCCAGGTAGGATTTGAGGGGAGGGAAGCATGGTGTTGCCTCTGAAGATGTTGTCGGACAGTTTTTCAGATGCTTTTAATCCAAAATTTTGATTTTTTTTTTTTGCAGTTTTTTAATCTGTGGTGTCAGTTGCATGTGCTTTAGAAATATTTTTTCAAAATGTAAATTTCAAATGTTGAAATTAGCAAGAAAAGGGAATAATTTGGGTACAATTGTAAAACAAAAATGATACAAGGTATTGGAGGGCAGTGACCGCAGTGGTGGGCATGATCGGTTCTGCTAAGTCATCACTTGTCCCTGCAATGGTGGAGGAAAAACAAATCTTTTTAGATGCACTTGAGCTGCTTGATGTGATATCGAAGGATCAAATCTGGGAATCAAGTTCTATGATAAGAGCGCTGTGCAACATAACACACCTGTGTTGGCTGCCTTGTATGTAGGCTATACATCATGAAAACTTGTCACTGTTTGAAAACACAGATGATTAAAACTGGGTCTATGATTAATAATTTTTAACAATTTATACTTTTTCCATGGTGCACTTATTGCTAGATTTTCAGCATCACTTCATCTTACGCTCTCTTAGTCCTTCCAAAAAATACAATAGCAACATAGTGTTCTGACTAAAGATCTTGATATATCTCTTTAATCAAAAACAGAAATGACTTGAGAAAAAGTCCTGTCTATTTTTACTTTTTGTTGAGTTCGAGAAATGAAAATATAGGTAGAAAATGGATTGTTGTAGCGTGTATTGTGGTTTGTGAGTCTTTCCCATCTCCATATAATGTGCTCCCACAGGTGTCGCTCTACAAATCACCAACGGTCAGTTCAGCTGGGACAGGAGCAAAGCCCCCACTCTCAATAAGTAAGTGTCAGATGACGTGGCATTGGTGGTCAAAGTGGCTCTCAGTTCCTGTTGTCTAACTTGCTATCTTTGGGTTGTCGTTAAATAGTCATCTTTTACGTACTCTGGGTCATTTAATGATTTCCTAATGGCTGGCTAGTGAGCTATGTTTTTGCATGGGCTAAATTTTCTCTGTCCCTCAACATATCGAGTGAATTTGATAAAGTAAGTGACCACAGAGAGGAAGATAATGAGGTTCACTAACCTGTGGTAATCAATCGGTGCTCTGATGGAACCTCACTAGTGCATTAGTTAGAGAGGTTCAAAGATCCAACTTGTCATTGTTATTGATAGCGAGATTTATACAGAATTTAAAGTGCATTTTCGAGCATCTGTAGTTTGAATCTGGATGTGTTTATACACTTTGTGTATCAAGGTATCAGGAATCTTTCTGTGCAAAAAAAAACAATTTTCACCCAAATTCAAATTAACGAGATTCCACCAGAGCACCGACGATAAGTGTACATATAGTATATTTATTTATCTATTCGTCTATATAATATGTATTATATTTTTGTTTTATAGCATTATCATCGCTGAAAGTATTTGTATGATTCCATTGTGATGTTTTCAATATGATTCTTATGACTATCTTGAACATAGGACATCTTTTACATAGAAAAATTTACAACTTGCTTCTTGGAGAAAGTGAATCGTTACTATTAAATGTAACTATATACAGCCACCAAAAACAAAAGTAATCATATCATAACCTTGCAATGATTATAGCTAACCCATTAACCCATCAAGTGCACAATAAAAAAAAATGTTTATGTATAAATGTTATTACGATTTTACTAATCAGTTGGTGTCGTTTTGATTGGCTTGTGCAAAAGGAAAATTATGTTATATTTTTGTTTTAAACTTATCAGCATAAACCTGAAAGTATTGGAGGGCAGTTTGACTGCGGTGGTGGGCATGATTGGCTCTGGAAAATCATCGCTGATCTCTGCCATGCTCCAGGAGATGTCCATTCTGTTTGGGACTGTGGAGAGCAAGGTGAAGTACTGAAGGATCTGTCACTCCCAATGACAGTCCTTTCATAATATTATAGTCAAACCTGTCCATAATGATCACTTGAGGTCATAGTGAAAAGTAACCTTCATAGACAGGTGGCCTCTGTGGACGGGGTTTGACTTATGAACATTTTCTACATGTATAAGAATGTATTCTCACTTACCACACACAAACCCCCAAATACCTCTATCATAAAAGCTTTTTATAAAGAAATGCTGTCAACAGACTTAAACCCCTGCTGCAGTCATTCACAAAACAAAACAAAACAAAACGAATCAAAAGAAAATAAACAAGCAAACAAAGAGAAAAAGATATGAGTGAATATGGTTTCTCATCAATTCATGTGAAGATTGTTTGTACACTGAGAATGTGAATGAGACAATGAATAGTGAATGATTTTTTATTCCATGTTTAGATTAGAAAAGACAAATTTCTGGTTACTAGAGAGTCAGTCAATCAATGAATACGAAAGAATAATGAACGTCTTTTAGAGGTTTAGACCACTTTTGATAAATGAATAAAAATGTGAAAACAGCTGAATACATAAATTAATGTTATTCCGGATATGCACGACCTCGTGTAAAATACGGAGGGGTCACTTTCGGACCTGAGTTGGGGGGAAAGGGGGGGGGGGGGGGTCACCTGTAATATAGTAAAGTATATATGTGTAACTATGCGGTGGAATCAGGCATTCGTCAATTTTTGGGCATGTAGAGTTATTGGTATCGCCTTAAAGCTTTTTCATTTGCCTTGCTTTTAATGAAAGGTTTACCCATTTATCTTAAATACATGTAGAGATATTTGTGATTGATTGAGGTGAGGTTCGCCTTATTTGAGAGGTAAAATTAGTGAAAAAATGGCCGCACAACGTGTGGTTATTTAAAAGACTCAGAGTCCGTGGATACTGACAATTTACATTTTTTGTGCCTTTGATCAACGTTTTTTCATTATAATTCACACTGAAATGGTTTCTTAAATGGACAAAGAAGGTGTTGAGCCAAAAAATAAAATTTCTATAATAATTGCCAAACCAGTGGAAAAGTGTCAGTTTCTTTGCTTTCATTATTTTGACAAGCGCCTGATTTCACCACGCTGCCTCACCTAATATGGTAGCCTATACTGCAGTGTGTTCTGTTTTAAAGTGGGCTGTGTTGGGTTTCTTGAGATTTTTTAGATGTCTTTCAACTAAAGCAAGATTACTAACTTTATGTTTTGTGCTTTCCTGCTTGCAGGGCACTACGGCATATGTCCCCCAGGAAGCCTGGATTCAGAATGATACGGTGAAAAATAACATCCTGTTTGGTAGTGAATTCGATGAGGAGTTGTACTCGAAGGTCATCGGGGCCTGTGCTCTGGAACCTGACCTAGCTGTGTTGCCTGCTGGGGACCACACAGAAATTGGCGAGAGGGTAAAAATGTAGTTTCTGCAAATTAATTTTGTCTCTTGTTTTTTCTTATTAGATTTTAGTAGCAAGCGCTCCTGGTGGGATTTTTTTGTTAGAGAGTCAATTCGACGTTTTTTTAACAAAACAACTCAGCGTCAGCTGAAGACAAGACTGTAACGGGGCAATAATTAAACTCTTCATCATCATCGTCATCATCATCAGTTTTGCCTTACTCACCCTGGACCAGGGTATAAGTCACAGACCAACACTTTTATTCATCTTTTCCCTATCATGGGAGGTAGCGTTTTGACATCATTCCATGTCTTTCCACTTTCTACTTTTCTGTAAACTCTTTTTCTGGCTTTCCAAAGACATGAGCAGATGAGGAACAGGTTTCTACTAGCCATTCACATTGATGGGAAAAGTTCAAAACTGACATTGAACTACTGTGTCTTGATAGTGAGTACTGGTATCAACACTGGCTTTTCCTTTGCCCCAACACATGTTAAGATTCTTTTTATTTTTGTTAGTTAAGCAACAGCAAGAGGTGTCATAAAGGCTGTTCTCAACTTATTCCTATCCCTTTTAGGGCATCAACTTTTTTCTCTCCCTTTAACTCTTTATCTCCGAGGGGGCATACCCACTATGCTGGGGCCCTTTTTTGTTTTAAATCTAAAAATAATAAAAAGTCACTAAACTGGTCATGAAATCAAAACAAATTAACCTGTTTTAATAGGTCTTCATCTAATGAATAATATCCCGATAAAAGAGACCTGTTTTGGGCAATTGCCAAAAAGCAATTTGATGGCAAAGTTGTAAAGAAATGTGCCCGAGTCGCTGTCAGTGGCTCAGCGGCACAGTGCTTTTGACCGCTTGCCGGAGATAAAGAGTTAAAGATATCAACTTTTTTTGCTCCCTTTTTTTTAAAATGCAGATGTTGTTACGCCCCCCATCAACATCTCCCTTTAACTCCTTACTTATCTGCGGAAAGCGGCTCCCAGCAGCTTGTGGACAGAATCGCTGTGGCGGTGAGCCGCTGGCATCAGTTTACAACAAACTCTCAGTCAAATTACTTTTCGGCAATTTCGGAAAATAGGTCTCTTTTACCAGAAGTTTATTCATTAGATGAAGAACTATCAAATTAAGTTCACTTGTCTTGATTTAATGACCAAGTTAGTCACGTTTTTGTCACTTTTAGATTTCTTACCAAAAGAGGGTCCCAGCGTAGTGGGTCTACCCCCTTTGGAGATAAAGAGTTAAAGATGTCAACTTTTTCTCTCCCTTCAGAGGCGTCAAATGTTTTCTCTCTCTCCAAGTGTGTCAACTGTTTCCTTTGGCCGGCTCTATTTCTCCTAATACTCGGGAAAATAAACTTATAATCCCGAGATTTGTTGCGAATAGAGTGGCCCGCGTGTGTGTGTGTGTGTGTGTGTGTGTGTGTGTGTGTGTGTGTGTGTGTGTGTGTGTGTGTGGGGTGGCAGGAAGGGATTTTTTTGTTGTTTACATGAAGGATTTTAGTTTTTAGGGGTGACTAAATGCAAAATAGGTTACTGCCAAAGTCGAGCAGTCTTGTTTTCTCTCTGTTCCTTTTAAAGGCATTTTCAAATGAAGTATAGCCCGGGAACGCTGCCCTAACCACAATTGAAGTATTTGAATATTCAGACATTTAAAAATCTCTAGCTCTTGAAATTGAATTCGATACAAAAAATACTTCCTCCCAGTCCTCGCAGAATGCCAAAATGAAAGATGACACAGAAATAGTCCCAAATAGGCCTAACCAAAAAATCTCGAGAGCGGAAAAACTTCTGAGAAATAGAGGTCAAGTTTATTTTCCCAAGCGTTCGGAGAAATAGTCACTTCATTTTTCTTTTCTCTTCCTCCAAGAATGTCAACTTTTTTTCTCTCTGAACAGGTGTGTCAACTTTTTCTCTCCATTCGTGTGTCAAATTTTTTCTTTCCCTCCCAGTGTGTCAACTTTATTCTTTTCTCTCCATTCAAAGGTGTCAACTTTTTTCTCTCTCAACAAGTATGTCAACTTTTTTCTTTTCTCTCCCTCCAAGTGTGTCAACTTTTTTCTCCTCTCTCCCTCCAAGTATGTCTTTTCTCTCCCTTCAGGGTGTCGACTTTTTTCTTTTCTCTCCCTCCAAGTGTGTCAACTTTTTTCTTCTCTCTCCCTCCAAGTGTGTCAACTTTTTTCTCTCTCATAAGTGTGTCAACTCTTTTTTCTCCGTCCAAGTGAGTCAACTGTTTTCCTCTCTCTCCCTCCAAGTGTGTCTTTTCTCTCTCTCCAAGTGTGTCAACTTTTTTTCTCTCCCTCCAAGGGTGTCAACTTAAGCGGTGGTCAGAAGCAGCGGATCAGCCTGGCCCGAGCGACGTACCAACAGTGTGACTTGTACCTCATGGACGACCCTCTCAGCGCAGTAGACAGCCACGTGGGACGGCACATCTTCCAGAATCTTGTCGGACCCGGTGGCTTGCTGAAGGACAAGGTCAGTCAAAATTTCAATAAACTAACATGTCACACACTCTTAATAACAAGTGTGTCACATAACACAAACAGCAAGCTTGCCACATACACCAAATGACATTATGAGCGTTTCACATGCAAATAATAAACATGTCACATTCCACAAATAATAAACATGTCATATTCCACTAATAACAAACATGTCAGTGTCATATTCCACAAATGACAAACATGTTTTTTTCCACAAATAACAAACATGTCAGTGTCGTATTCCACAAACAACAAACATATCATATTCCACAAATAATAAACATGTCACATTCCACAAATAACAAACATGTTTTTTTCCACAAAAAACAAACTTGTCAATGTCATATTCCACAAATAACAAACAAGTCAGTGTCACATTCCACAAATAATAAACATGTCAGTGTCATATTCCTCACATAACAAACATGTCAGTGTCATATTCCTCACATAACAAACATGTTTTTTTCCAATAACAAACGCGTCAGTGTCACATTCCACAAATAATAAACATGTCACATTCCAGCGGCACATGCAGCTGCATAAGGTCATATGACCATATGCAGTTGCAAGTGCCATAAAAAGATTACCTATACAAAAAAAGGGTTGGCTTCAGTTGAAAAACCAGTCAAGTTTACATTTTAAGAAAGTAGAGAAATTAGAAACTGAAAGTTTGAAAGTCTATACCCGATAGTGAGTATAGCATTTCTTTTACCAAATATTGCACAGGACTTACCTTGGTTGTCCATGAAATTGTTTGCAGAGAAGACAATCCGATTTTTTCTAAAGAATTCAACGAGAGTCAAAAACTCAATTTTTTTTTTTAATTGACTCTTTTGATTTTTTAACTGGAGTCTTCAAGTGCATTAGTCATTTTCTTCAGATTTCTAGTTGTTAGTATGATAAAAAAAATGTCTGTGCTTGTTTAGTATCATCAATATTTCAGGGTTTTGTATCTTGTACTTAAATTCCAATTATGGAGCAGAGACACTTTTGCTCAAGTCATGAGGCTGACTTAAGTAAGGATTGAATTACTTTGTGACTTCAATGATTTTCTGTTCTATATCAGACAAGAGTCATGGTGACCCACGGCCTCCACTGGCTGACAGAGGTGGACCAAGTCGTGGTGATGACTGCTGGTCAAGTCACAGAGCAGGGCTCCCTGGAACAGCTGATGCAACACCATGGCCCTTTTGCCCAGTTTCTATCACAGTATGTGCAACAGCAGCAGCAGCAACAACCAGAACAACAACAGCAGCAGCTAGAGTCTGGAAGTGGCGACAACGTCCAAGCTTCCGCGGACGAGGTGTGTGGGAGAGAGAGTTCTGTGTCTGTGCAAGATGCTGAGGAAGAAGCTGCTGAGCTGGATGGGGATTCGTCTGGTAAGGACTGCGTGTGATAAGAGACTCATTGTCAGTGTCAGGCATCCACACGGTTTACATATTTTAGGCGGATGGCGACCCCCACTCAAGTTCTAATCCCGTATGGTTCAGTATTTTCTTTTTACCCTTCTCCTGACAATGTGCTCTTGGCCTGATGGTTGGTCCTTGTCCTTGTTCCAATAGCTCTTCCTTCAGATCAAAATACAAATTTAGAAATTGTATTGTAAATTAGAATATTTGATTTTCATTATTTTTTCACTGTTCCCTTTACATTAAGGAGAAAAGACTGGTCTTTTTTTTTCTCTCATTCTCAGAGGAAATACGTCAGAAACTTTTTCAGCGTTTGATTTCCGTTCAGTCATCATCCTCTGAGGTGGATGAGGCAGTGGGTCTTGATGCTGCTACTGGGACAAACAGGTCTGGACGAAATATTGTTTTTTCCTTAGAGAACTTTGCTTCTAAGTAGTTTTGTTGTTTTTTGTGTGCGGGGGTGAGCTTTTTCATTGTTTACCTCCTTCTAAACACAGAATACAATATGTGAGGTATCTTCGTGAATCAGGCGCTCGTCAAAAATAATGAAATCGAAGAAATCTGCAATTTTCAGCCAGGGGTTTAAATTTTTTTTTCAAATTTTTGTTATTTAGCTCAACACCTTGTATGTCCATTTAAAAACACTTTTATGCATGGATTTTATTGACAAACATTGATTAAAGGCATGAAAAGTGTAAATTTACAGTTACCAAGGAATCTTGAGCTATGGAAGTCACCAAACTTTGGCTGCCATTTTCTCGCTAATTTTATTTCTGAAACCAGGCGACCCCACCTCCTTCAATCGCAAATATATCGACTTGTATCCAAGATAAATGGATTTTTTTAATATTTAAAGCAAGACAAACAAACAAGTTTTAAGCAGATACCAATAACTCCACTTGCCCAAAAATTGACAAGCCCCTGATCCCACCACATCGTGACTCATATATAATTTCAAAAGTAGAATTAGTTTCTCTTTTCTCTCTCTCTCTCTCTCTCTCTCTCTCTCTCTCTCTCTCTCTATATATATATATATATATATATATATATATATATATATATATATATATATATATATATGTTGTTGTTGTTGTTATCGATCCAGCAACAGCTGGGCTCTCGCCCTTCTGTCCAATGCCATGTAGTGATAAGTGATATATATATATATATCTATCTATCTCTTTTTCTTTTTTGTTTAGATCTAAATACTCAGCACAGAATACGGTAGACTACTCCAAAAGTTGGGGGGTTTTCTTTTTTTTTTTAATCTAGAATCTCAACAAAAAAATGTAATAGAATATTTCAAAGTGGAGAACTTTCTATTTTAGTATAGCGTTGTGTATATCTGATAAAGCAAGGAGTTTTTTTTCTGTTGTTCTAATATAAAATTGTAATTTTAAGGTTGTCTGAAAACAAATTTGTACACTGCAGAATAATATGTCATGTTTGTTTTGTCAGGAATGCCAGTGAGGTTACAGCTTTCGGGCATACAGAGAAAGATCTTGTCAAACATGAAACTGAGGATGAGAGCAGTCGCTTAATTGCGGAAGAAGAACTGGCTCATGGAAGAGTGAGTGCGTGAGGAAGAAAGAATAGTGGGAGGGGTGTTTACGGTTAAAGGTGTACGTGTATGTTTGTGATGCCATCTGTAGTTTTGTCCAGTTGTTGTTGTATTTTGTGGCATCGGTAGTCAAATGGTTAGGTTACCTGATGAGTAACCTTGAGGTGCGGGTTCGGGGGTTTGAGCCTCGGGCCCGACATTGTGTCCTTGGGAAAGGCACTTACATGAATTTTCCACATGTCACTCAGGTGGAAATAGGTACCCGGCCAAGACAGCATAAGATCTTATCAGTTTGTTAATGTTTTTGGGTGTTTAAAATGACAGCTCACTCTGTATGCTTCCCAGGTAGTTGAGATTGTTTCAGAATGTCATCAGTTCTGCAGGGGTGTTAATATTCATTGTAAATCACATAGAGCTTGCTGTTGAATGGTAATTTATGCTGTGCCGATGTATGTATATAATAAGATAATTTTTTCATATGTGTGATGCAGGTGGAGTGGTCAGTGTACGCTGCCCTGTACCGTACTATGGGCGTTGTTCCAATGACTATCATGGTCCTGCTGTACATCAGTTACTTCGTCTTTGACCTGGCCGATGGCTTCTGGCTCACCTTCTGGGTAGATGACCCGGTCTTGAGCAACGTGTCGCTGCCGGGGGACAGCGAGCTGCGACGTGAAGGGAACAACTACTACATCACTACTTATGCCATGTGGGGCATTCTGGAGAGTAAGTGTTGAGAAATTAAATTTTGGAGAGTAAGTGTTGGGAAATTAAGTTCTGGAGAGTAAGTGTTGGGAAATTAAGTTCTGGAGAGTAAGTGTTGGGAAATTAAGTTCTGGAGAGTAAGTGTTGGGAAATTAAGTTCTGGAGAGTAAGCGTAATGAAATTTACTCAGGCAAATAGAGTAATGAAATAAATTATTATGAGTAAGATGTGTAAATTTGTTGTGGAGAGTAAATGTAATGAAATTTACTCTTGAGAGAATAAGTATCATGAAATTTATTGTGGAGAATTTTTGTATGATACCATTTGGCGGGTGGTTAGTGGGTGCTCTGGTGTGGTTTGCTCTTTCTTTCCTATCAGATGATCTAATATCTTTATCTCTCCTTGTCTGTTTTATTTTTTGTATGTAACTCTCCAGCAACATCTTTAACCTGGCGGTTACTTGCAATAAAGGTTTTCTGCCAACCTGTCTTCAGGCTGAGTGCATACATTCAATCAGTGTTAAGAAGCTCTCATGATAGATAACAATCTTTTGGGAAATGAAATGAAATGGGAACATGAAATTAAGATTTCATATCTTAAACCATCTGTCAACTTTATCAAGTCTAATAAGTGACCATAGCCCTGAACCTGTCCACAGCAGCCACCAGTCTATAGCAGTCACTTTTCTCTGTGATCTTGAGGGATCAGTAAAGACATACATGTTCGACTGTGCTTGTTTTCACCTCCCACCAATGTTTCCGTCCCTCAGCGGTGGTGATAGTCGTTTACTCTGTGATCAAGGCGTTCCGACACAAGATCTTCTCACAATCTGTCCACGCAGACATGCTGGACAGCGTCCTGTACAGTCCCATCCAGTTCTTTGAAACGACGCCCATGGGCAGAATTTTAGCTAGGTGAGACTGTCTCTCTCAGGTGGTGTTTTTGCTTTTGTGTGTATATATTGTCCTAAGATCTGAAAGAAAACATGTTTTTTCAAGATCGTCTATGTGACATCAGTAGTTTAGTGCTTAAACTTTCGAATTCTCAACCATAAGTTCGTAGGTTTGAATTCCATCAGGGGCCGGACATTGTGTGCTTGTGAAAGGCACTTTCAATGAATTTTAATCACTTTAGCCAGGTTGAATGGATACAGCGAAAGATTTTGTCAGTTAGTTAATGTTTTAGTGCGTGTAAACTGCAGCTTGTATTGTATGCTTCCCAGGAAGCCGAAAATGTTTCTGTCTCGCTTTTAATCACTGCACTTAATTAATAGATGGATGTTATAGTGTCAATATTCTTCTCTTTACCCAAGAGAACAAGCTGCATTCCTCACATTTTTCTGACAGATTCTCCAAGGATATAAATGTGATGGACATGACGCTGTTCCTCTTCATCGAGATCTGGCTGCACAGTTGCATCGGCATCCTCTGCATTCTCATCACCATCGTCATCAATCTTCCAATCTTCCTCGCTGCTGCAGTGCCCATCATTTGTCTCTTTTATGTCTTGGAGGTAACTATAGATTTTTTTTTAAAGCAAGTAGGAAAACTGCCAGAACATAGCTTGTAGATGCAGCTTGGCAGTTTGTACTTTTTAAAAAGGGTCAAATTCACCAAAACTTGTCTTAGGGTGTGTTTTAGTGCTGAAAGCTTTTATTTTTGGCACTGATTAGATTAATAATGCCCCCCCCCCCCCCCCCCCAAAAAAAAAATCCTATGTTTAAAATGAAAATGAATATGATAAAAAAAATTATAGCTGTTTGGACTTTTTTATAGTGTTATTTTTTTGCCTAAGGCTGTTTTTTTTTTTTTAACCAAATGGCTTGAAACTTTGCAGATAGGCACTACAAGATATGATAAAAGTTTATGCAGGGAATTTTTTCATGGAGTAATAATTTTGATATTTATTGTGCAATACAGTTTGAAAATCTACATTTTCCTCTTATATTTAGTTGTGGTTTTTAAACCTGCACATGCCTTCAATATACAGTTCCATAGAAGTAAGTTGACATTGGAGTGTAACTGACTTAAGGGTTTTGATGGTAATAGATATTTTGGTGTAGATCAGTTTCTGATGTTGATGGTAATAGCTACACGCATGTAGCTAGCATCTTCGTTTGTCATAGCTGCAACCCAGAAATCGCGACTGCGATTTTTGGCATGCGAATATATTGCGACCAGGATTTGTGCATTTATTTATTATTTAAAATTAAAAATCCCCCCCGAAAAATGGAAATAAAAACCGAAAAAAAGCTTTTAGAAAGAAAAGTTTATTTTCACTTCCACTTCACTTCTTCTCTTTCTCACTTGTTGACACCTTGTTGGTTTGTTGTTTTCATGTGAAGAATATAGGTGGGCCCACATTACATATGTTACTGTGTCTCTTTTATTTTTCCCTTTTTGTTGCGTTTTAATTTGTTGGTGTGATAAATTTTTTCCACGTCAGTCAGTAGCACCGCTCCGCGGGGTTACGTATCCAAATCTAAGGTGTTTTAGAATAGTGCACTGTTTATATTGAGTCAATTGTTGTTTTGGTTTGTGTCCATCCAGGCCCAAACAGGTGAAATAATATTAGACTTAGAGTTACATTATTACTCATTGTTACTTTTGTTCTGACTTTCAAACTGAAGGCGATGGGTGGTTGGCGGGTGCTCTGGTGTGGTTTGCTTCTTCTTTCCTATCAAACATCCATTGTCCTTATCTCCCCTTCTTCTTTTTTATGTTTGTTACTTTATTGTAACACCTCTATTCTTCGGCACTTATACGACCTAATTGTGTTGCAAGTGCAATAAAACTCTTACAGCTTCTTTTTTATGTTTGTTACTTTCTCGTAACATCCCTAATCTTCTGGCGCTCATACGACCTTATGAAGTTGCGAACGCCGTAAAAACCTCAACTAAAACTAAAACTAAAAACTGAAGGCGGATACTCGAATTTGAATGTTTCAGAGGTTTTACCTGCCCACGTCGTGCCAGCTGCGCCGACTCCAGAGTAAGTGGCTCTCCCCTGTGTTTAACCACGTCAGCGAATCACTGGCCGGAGTGAGTGTGATCCGGGCACTGGGCCAGGAAGGGAGATTTATTCATTTAGCGGAAGACAAAATCGACTTCAGCCAACGTTTCAAACTGGCAGCTTATGCCTGTGAGAGGTGATGATAGTTATCGTGATGGTGTTTGTAGAAGTGTGACTGAAAGGTTGTTTCTGTCCTGTGAGTGACTGGTTGGTGTTCATTTTTGTTTCATGTGCTCTGTCTTCCTGTTTTTAGTGTCTTGATCCGTTATTTGTGAAATGTGACGGTTATCATTTATCATTATCATCTATATATGTTTTTTTTTGGCCTCTACCACCTTACGATGCGGAAGGGAGAACCAAACGTCTTTTCTCTTGTATGCTGTAATGCCTGTTGTGTAGTCATATTGTTTTATTTAATGCTCTTGGAGGCTTTTCTCAATGCTACTTAGAATGCTCTTATCGTCAGCGAAAAGAACTCTGTATAACTCTGTAAATTACTTTTCTCGTTTGCCATGTGCCTAACATGTGAGTACACAGATGGGTTAACTTGTAGCTCTTTTGTGCAAAAAATGTGATGGGTCAGGGTCTTTTAGAAATGATCAAGTGTGGGTGGTTGGCGGGTGCTCTAGTATGGTTTGCTCCTTTTTTCTTTTCAAATCTCTCCCGTCCGTATCTCTCCTCCTTCTTTTTTTTGTGTATGTTACTCTCTTGTAACACATCTATTCTTCGGCACTTATGCGACCTAATTGTGCTGCAAGTGCAATAAAACTCTTACTAAAACTAAAGAGTACTTTTTTGTGTGGAGCCATGTGCCTGTGTATGTAGGAATGTATGCATTTGTGTGTGGGTGTGTTTGTATGTGTGTATGTGTGTGGGAAAGTTTGCATTTTTGGGGTCTACTACTCTATTATTACCCAGCCACACTGACAACCACTGGGTAATGTAACACTTGTCGATGTGACAGAGCGAGTGGTTTGTGGGTGCTCTGGTTTAGTTTGCTCCTTCTTTCCTATCAAACATCTATCGTCCTTATCTCCCCCTCCTTCTTTTTTATGTTTGTTACTCTCTTGTAACACCTCTAATCGTCTGGCGCTCATATGACTTTATGCAGTTGCGAGCGCCAGAAAACCTCTACTAAAACAAACGACTATTATATGACCTTATTGTGTTGCTAGTGCCGTAAAACTTTTACTAAAATTAAAACAAAGTTCATGTGACTGAGTAATGTAGAAGCTGAACCCGCACAGGTGGTTGTCGGTGTGGCTGGGACTGTTGTCCGACGTCCTTATCCTGTGTACCGGTGTCCTGGCCGTGACCTACCGCGATGAGCTGACCCCTGGTCTCACTGGACTCTGTCTCAGTATGGCTCTCATTGTGAGTAAAACACACCCTCCCCCCCCCACCCCCACCCTCATGCTCACACACTCGCATGCACACTATCTCTCACACACACACTTACCCACACACACACACACAAATGCACACACACAAACACACTTACACACAAACATGCACACACACACACACACGCTCACTCACATATACACCATATACACATACTCACACACACTTGCACGCACACACACACACACACACACACACACACACGTGCACACGCACGACTAGGAATGGATAAAGTGTAGTGTTAGACTGATGGTGTCTGGGTGCTCGAGGGTGGGGGGGGGGGGGGGGGGGGGGAA